CCGTGTGGGGTGTGGGTGCTGGGATTTGAACCTGGGTCTTCTGCAAGAACAGTCAGTGTTCTTAACTGCTGAGCCATCTCTCCAGCCCCCCTTATTTTCTTTTTTAGAAAACATTTATTTTTGCCGGGCGTGGTGGTGCACGCCTTTAATCCCAGCATTCGGGAGGCAGAGGCAGGCAGATCTCTGTGAGTTCAAGGCCAGCCTGGTCTACATAGTGAGTTCCAGGATAGCTGGGGCTACAGGGAGACCCTGTCTCAAAAAGACCGAAAAAAAAAATTATTATTTTTGTGTGTAGGTGTGCAGGTGCCATGGTGCTTGGGTGGTCAGAGGAAAGCTTGCAGAACTCAGTTTCTCCTTCTACCACGTGTGTCCCAGGATCAGACTTAGGCAGTATGGTTTGGCAGCCAGTGCCCTTACCTGCTGAGCTATCTTGCTGTTACACACACACCCCACTTAAAAAAATTTTTTTTAAAGTTTACTTATTTTATGTGTGTGATTGTTTTACCTGCATGTATGTAAGTGTACCCATGTCATGCAGTGTCTGCAGAGACCTGAAAAGGGTGTCAGATCCCCTGGAACTGAAGTTTCAGATAGTTGTTAGCCTACCATGTGGGTGCTGGGAACCAAACCCAAGTCCTCTGCCAGAGTAGCCATTGCTCTTAACCACTGAGACATCTCTCCAGCCTAGCCCTAGACTTTCTTTATGGTGTCTGTGGAAGACAGAAGTGGGCTGGAGAGATAGCTCAGCAGTTAAGAGTGCTGGCTGTTCTTGCAGAAGACCTGAGTTCAATTACCAGCACCCACATGGTGGCTAACAACTGCCTAAACTCCAGTTCCAGGGGAATCCAACGCCCTCTTCTGACCTCCACGGGCATTGCACAACACGGGTACACTTACCTACATGCAGGCAATACACTCATACACATAAAAAACAAAAATAAAATATTAAAAAATATATGAACAGTGAAAATTATTTCAGTGGGATGTTGGAAGAATTAGAGATTATGTCTATGCCCGTTCTTCAGCTGAAATTTGGCAAGGTTGAACTCCATCAACTCCAGAACTGTCTGGCTGAGATTCAGTAGCTCAAGACTCATATGATTTGCATGTCTTGCTGTGGGGAATCTTTTTAAAAAGAAGCTCTGCCAGGCGTGGTGGCGCACGCCTTTAATCCCAGCACTTGGGAAGCAGAGACAGGTGGATCTCTGTGAGTTTGAGGCCAGCCTGGCCTACATAGTGAGTTCTAGGCCAGCTGGGGCTACAAGGAAATCCTGTCTCAAAAAGATCAAAAAAAAAAAGAAGCTCTAACAGCGTGCCTGTTGTAGATGTTGGGGATTCTGCCTCTGAGAGAAGCTCATATGTTCTTGTTTTCTTGTTGCAGTTTTTCCACTACTCACAAGGGCAGGTGTACGTTGGGAATTATGCACCATTTAAAGACCGAATCAGCTGGGCTGGAGATCTTGACAAGAAAGATGCATCAATCAACATAGAAAATATGCAATTCAAACATAATGGCACCTATATCTGTGATGTCAAAAACCCTCCTGACATTGTTGTCCAGCCTGGGCATATCAGGCTCTATGTTGTGGAAAAAGGTACTCCTCTGTTAGTTTTGCTATAATGAGACATGTATAGTTGGAAAATAAGACATATTTCATGGTGCATTTGAAAGGAAGATTTTTAAAAAATAGTGTGTATGTGTGTGAGAGAGAATATGAATTTATGTGTGTTTAGTTGCCGGAGGAGGCCAGAGTTATCAGATCCCCTGGAGTTAGAGTCACAGTGAGCCTCATGACATGGGTGCTGGGAGTTGAAATCAGATCCTCTGCAAGTGCTCTTAACTGCTGAGCCACCTCTCCAAGCCCGGAAGGAAGTTTTTTTTTGTTTTTTTGTTTAAACTTGATTTTTGTGGTACCTGATATCAAACTCAGGGCCTCACAGATGCTAGACAAGCACTCTGCCACTGAGCCACACCCCCAGGCCCTGAAGGGAAGAATTTTGCCTTATAGTTGTGCTTCCTGTCTTTGAGGCCCTGTAGCTCAGCCACACACAGCTGGTGGTTGAGGAACTGCTGCACAGTCTGCAGAACGGATGGTTCCTCCTGTGGTGCACCTGTGTCTGGAGCCTGTGGGTTTGATTTTAGGCACATTAATTTTTTGATGGTAATTACAAGTAGGATTAAATTCATTGTGGTTAGATGACGTGGACTGTGGAAAAGGAGATTGATGCTGTTTTGATATTGTCCAGGAGGCAATTTTGATATCTCCCACAGCAGGACAGTGATCTTTTTCTTGTCTAAGATGTGCAGGAAATGCACGTTCATTGTCTCCTTGGGCATCAGTCTTTTCCCTGGAGAGAAGATTGCTGCACATTTGCATCTCCAGTTTTGCTTTGACTGTAGAGCATGGAGTGTGATTATGGGTGTAGAAGAGCTTAGCTCTCTAGGTCATTTTCAGCTGACAGGTTGTAGGTATCAACAGCATGTCATCAATTAGATACTGCTCTGTAATTTGGATAGTAAAAGTATAAATAAAATGAAAACTGCTAAGGCAGACTTTTGCTTATTAATGAAATTCCATTTCTTCTGTCTTTGGCCATGTCCCTGCACCCCACCCTGTTCTTTTCTCTAGAGAACTTGGCAGTGTTCCCAGTGTGGGTGGTGGTGGGCATTGTCACCGCTGTGGTCCTAGGCCTCACTCTGCTCATCACCATGATTCTGGCCGTCCTCTATAGAAGGAGAAATTCGAAACGGGATTACACTGGGTAAGAGCCACTGCCTTTTAGGGGAGGGCTGGAGAGAGGAAATCAAGGTTTATAAAAATGTATTTATTATGGAAAAAGCATTGTGAAGAACTATCTGCTGTTTGTTTTTCTGCTGAGATCAAGCAGTCTACTTAGGAGGTATTCTGACATGGGCAAGCAGAAGGCAGGGGCCTGCTGTCAGATTTGGAATATGATACTAATTCTGTCCTCCAGTTCCTTCTGAGGTTTGGGGAAATGAATCGCTCAGCAGTCATGTGCTGGGTTTCAGTGCCATCCACTCAGCAATTAGACTTCTTAAGCCACAGACATTACTCGCCTAATTTAAGTGTTTAATTTTACTAGGCATGGTGGCACACACCTGTAATCATAGTACTTGGTAGGTGGAGGCAAGAAGACCAGGCGTTCAAGGTCATATTCAGCTATATAGCAAGCTTGAGACCAGCCTAAGCAACATGAAACTGTCTCAAAACAACAGGGGCTGGCAAAATGACTCGGGATAAAGGTGTTTGCCACCAAGACTGATGAACTGAGTTTGATCCCCTTGAACCTACCTGGTAGGAGAGAACCAACTCCCAACTCCCTGACCTCTACTTGCCCACTGTGGTATGCGCGCACGCACACACACACACACACACACACACACACACACACACATAAATGTAAAAAATTTGGAATGAAAAATAGCATTTGTTGGGAATAACCTAATAAAGGTCTTCCTTTCGCTTGGGTAACTGTAAAGAGCTCTGCGATAAATGGACATAATATGATGGTGCAGGGCTTTTCCCTGTTGTATTTCCCTGCCCTGCTACAAACTTGAGCAGTTTGATTGCTTTTCTCTTTTTTGGCTGCATGCACCCAAACCGGGAGAATAAGAGTAAATAGTTGAATTTGTTTACGGCTTCTCAAAAGGGGCATCTTTGAATGTAGGCTGTGTCTAACGGAAAGACCTTCTCTTTCCCCACTCCAGCTGGAAAGCTAACCCATATAAGCTCTAGCACTCATGCGGTAAGACTGGAGGCGAAGGCTGGCTTCAAGTTGGTGTAGCACGGACAGTGTCAAAGGCACCCGATCTAACTTTAACCATCCTGGGGGACTGTGGTTAGAGAGGACTGCATGCCCAGATGACGGGAGCCTCTCCCTGTGGGCTTTGCTGACCTTGAGCTTTTAAGAGTGCTGTGTTTAAACAAGTCTAAGTGTTCCAATTCAGGTATTATTTGCTTGGAATGCTCTGTTCTGCTGACTGTGTTGCTCCCTTGCATGGTGAGTGTTTTATAATTACATCTATTGGGATTGACGGTTCTCAACTTGAGACTAATCCAAGGTGGTGGCATGTCCAACTATAGTTCTTGCTTGGGGTTAATAAGTGGGCAGGGACATATTCCCTAGAGTCCTGCATGGCACCAGGAATGCGGCTTTCTTCTTACTTTGGTTTTCCCCCTCCCTGCTTTTTTACCTTGATGTGTTGGGATCAGGTCCTGCTTACCTTCTTCTAAGAAAGCTGACATAGAAGACACATGGGAACTGTAACAGGGCTGGGTCTCCTCTCCACTCCTGATAGACACATGGTAACTAATCACGTTGCCCATTGCTGTTAATATTTATGTGTATGTATCCAGCCCATTTCCCTTGTTGATAGCTAACCAGCAAGCTCTGCACTAACCCCACAGCTATTATGGTTTGTGCACAAATATGTCACATGATTATACCAGAAACATGCAGAATAACATCCAGATGAAGTTAGATTTGTCTGTTTATGTCTGTCTGTCTGTGTGTGTATGTGTGTGTGTGTATGCGATTCATGTAAAATGTGTGTGTGTTTTCATACATGAATTTTATTGTCAATTTTTTATGATTAACACCTTCTTTTTGTTAGAAAATCAAGCAACTTGGATTAGGGCATGTAGCCTCCCATCCCAGAGAAGGCAGGTCACAGAATGCCCAGGATGCTTTGGTCTTAATAATGACACTTTAAATATGATTCTCTCCAGACTCCTTAGCTCTTATGATAGCATGTTACTGAGGATTGATGCTGCACAGACAAATCTCATTAGGAAATCCCTACCAGGCCACTGCTTGGCCACTTTTCCTGACTTACTCCTGAGCTAGCACTTGTTGGAGATGCCCCCAAGTTCCTAAGTCAGACTGTGATGGGGCGCTCCAGAGTTTCTCATCAGTCATGACTTCCTGGGCTATCTGTGTCTTGAGGTTTTTTGTCTTTGGTTGTGGTATTGGTAGAGAAACAAAATGTGGAGAACTAAAGAATGGAAAGAGCAAGAAGAGCCCCAGTTGTGAGTCTGGATATAGATCTGGTGTTGTGTTGTATCGTGTTTTGTTTTGTTTTGAGACAAGGTCTCCCTGTAGCTTCAGCTGGCCTTGAACTCACAGAGATCCACCTGCCTCTGCCTTCTGGGTGCTGACACTAAAGGCGTGTGCCACCATGCCTGGCCTGGATATAGATCTGTAATTTTAAAAATACATCTGGAAGAGGCTTAACTTCAGTGATAACAAAAGCAGTGCTAGGTAGAGCTTGTTCCTTCAAATGTTATCCTGAAGCAAGTTGGACAGCAGGGTAAAGACCAAGCACCAAAACCAAACCAAAATGTGTGTTGTGACGAGACTCACAGTATTGCTGTTAGGTGAAGCTATCATACCACAGTCATTTCCCTGCCTCCCCCAGCAGCAGGCAGGTTGACTCAGAATGAGCAAACCTCAGGTAGAAAGTAGTCTGAAGCCAGTCTTGTCTCGCTGCCCATTCAAGTAGTCTGAAGCCAGTCTTGTCTCGCTGCCCATTCTTCTGTTGTCCACTGTTCGGTTTTGTTCTTCTGTTCCTTCATCTTGCCATCACTTCTGTACTTTTGTTTCCATTTATTGTAATTTTTTTTTTTTTTACATTTGTTCTTCAAATTTCCACCCCATCAGCTGCAGTACATCAGAGACTTTGTCACCGGTTAAGCAGGCTCCACGGAAGTACCCCTCCGACACAGAGGGTCTAGTAAAGAGTCTGCCTTCCGGATCATACCAGGTAACAGTTGATGGCAGTTCTGCAGGGCACTCTGCCCTAAGGTTTGGTGCTCTGTCACTTCCTGGGGACGGGGGAGAATACAGAACTGTGATAGAGACATGCAGAAGAACAGCGAAAGGGAGGGTGACAGGAATTAAAGGGCTGGTCAAAGATCACAGGTAAATGTGTAGAGAACCGATTTGGGTAATTTTCTATCAAACCGCTACAAACATTGTCGATTAAAAAGTTGGCTCCAGCCCGGTGTGGCACTTGGGAGGCTGAGGCCAGCGGATCTCTGAGTTCAAGGCCAGCCTGGTCTACATGGTGAGTTCCAGGACAGCTGGGGCTACACAGGGAAACCCTGTCTCAAAAAGATCAAAAAAAAAAAAAAAAAAGTTGGCTCCAGACAAGCATGATGGCACACGTCTTCAGTCCAGCACTCAGGAGGCAGAGGCAAGTGGATCTCTGTGAATTCAAAGGCAGCCTGGTCTACATAGCCAACTCCAGACCAGCTAGTATGATATAGTGAGAGCCTGTCTAAACAAAAAAAAAGTTAACTTCTTTGGCCCAAGTAGAAGTAGGAGATGGCTTTGTTAACTGTAAAAAATTCTTTGATTGACCAAGAAAATAAAAACCTAGTAAACTATATTCTAAAGTACTCTATATGAAGTTAGCAGGGAGGGCTAGGGAGAGAGCTCATTCAGTAAAGTGCTTACAAGAGGACCTGGGTTTGATCCCTCCAAACCCACATTTTAAAAAGCTGTGTGTGGTGGCATGCACTTGTAATCCTAATGCTGGGGGAGTAGGCAGATCTCTGAGGCTCACTGGCCAGTGTAGCATAACTAGCAAGCTTCAGGTCCCAGTGAGAGACCCTGTCTCCAAAAAAGGTAGATGATCCTGAGGAATGGCATCCACGATAGTTTATGTGCTTGCATGCATGCCCATTCAGGCACACATGGTGGGGGGGGAGATTATCAGGGAAAAGTTGATATTCTTGGTATTGATTATAAAATAGGTTTATGTTCATGGATTCTTTATAAAAAATTTTTTTTGAAAGGATGGAGCTGGAGAGATGGCTCAGCGGTTAAGAGCACTTACTGGTCTTCCAGAGGACCTAGTTTGGTTCCCAGCACCCACATAGCAGCTAATATCTGTCCTTAATTCTAGTTCCAGGGGTTCTGACATCCTCTTATGGCCTCTGTGGGCATGAGGTGCACTTATACATGCAGGCAAAACACTCATACACTCAAAAAAAGTAATAAAATTTAAAAATAAAAAATGAAAAGGAAATTCTTATGTAAATAATAGACTAGATAAACAAGGAATGGAGTTTGGTTTCTACTTATTATAGGAAGTACTAAAGTGAACTAACCTTTACTTCACTTTAGTGCAGAACCTAGCATTGTGCTTTGTGCTCTTTTAATTTTAACTATGGCTTTATCAAAGCTTCATTGCTTCGCATCTATGTAGACCTTCTAGAATAAAACCCATCCTAAGGAATTTGGCCAAATCTACTTTGCCATAAGGAGGTGTTAGGTAAAGGAAATGAATTTAAAAGAATAAAGGAAAATAATGTTTCATAGCCAACACTTGTGGTCTTATTCCATAGGCTTTATATTTGGTGAGAGAACTGCTACACCAGCGAGGAAACCGAGGATTGCTATTGCCAAATTACTAGAATATACAAGTTAGTCACAAAATTTGGGTTAGGACCCCATTGTGAAAGCAACAGGTTCTTTACCACAGCATCAGGCTTATAACCTGTTCCTAGTCCCTATTTCCCTCCTTCTCATCTTCCCTTTCTCCCTCCCATATCTGTGGGTAACTACTGACTTGAATCGTGACCAGGAATAGAGTTGTAATGAAGTCGTGAGAGTTACAAGCAGCTGTAAAGAGCTATAAGCAGCTTAAAGGCTAAAGAAGCCTTAGGACAGGCTTCTTATTCTGCCCTTGAAGGGAGATGGTATTGCTCTTCTGCTGCAAACAAACTCCTTATTTCAAATAATGAAGCAACAGTTTTCTAGACATTGGGAAATGGGTTATACAACACCGTGATCCCAGGAAGAAAGGAAACATGAGTCCTACAATTCCCCAGCTTACTGCCTTGAGGTTTTCCAGAACATAGTGCAGGGAAGGAAAATGGAAATGGAGCTCAACTGTTTCACTGAACTGAGGGGGTAGAAACCAAAGTTTGGATTAGTCACAGTGGTCAGGGTTTATGAGGCAGAGTGCCAGAAAATAAGACTGTACAAAGAAACAGTGCATGTGTATACTTTAAAGACCTGGAGTCTTTGGCTGACTGCAGATTAGTGCATCCATGGGAGAAAACTGAGACCAGGGAAACAGTTACCTGAAAAGAACAGGTTACACAGACTATGGAACTCATCTGGGGCTGGGAATAGTTTGTGGAGAAAATACACAGATATTGGTGTGGGTACTCAGAATGGTCACTCCTTCATAGCAGAATTGAATAAACACCAGAATAAAGGACTACAAAGCTTGAGAGAAAACCTTGACAGAATTAAAAATCCAAAAGAAATTTAGCTACATGCTACAATGAAATTCCACATACTTTGTGTGCAACAATGTGAAATTCAGTGTCTGCAAGCGGTAAAAAATGACGAGGCATACAGCCAGATATGGTAACACATGCTTGTGACCCCAATACTTGGGAGGCTGACACAGGAAGATTGCCTAGAGTTTAAGGCTAAGCCTAAGCTATGTAGAGACTTGCCTCAAAGGGGTTGAGGGTGGGTGGGAGACTAGGCCTAAAGGAGCAGGTAGCTAGAAGGAATTAGCTGATAGAAACCAATCCAGACATGACAGATGATGGGGTTCATAAACAAGGACCTTAAAGCATAGATGGGTCTTACATGTAAACTTAAGGAGGTGAAGGAAACCTTGCACATAATGATGAAAGAGCTAGTAAATCAGACAAAACGAGGTGGAACTTACAGAAATGAAAAGCATTGGATGCCGTCAACACAGATTAGAGTCAGCCATGGTGGCTTATGCCTGTAAAACCCATCACTTGGGAGGTATAGACAGGAGATCACCAAGAGTGTGTGGTCAGCCTGGGCTACATAATGAATTCTAGGCTAGCCTGGGCCACAGAATGAGACTCTTATGAGAATAAAGAGAAAAAAAATGAAACAAATACAACCAGATTAGACACCACTGAAGAAAAGATCAGTAAACTTAAAATGTAGCAGTAAAATGAGGTATGGCAAACCAAAACCCAAACAAAGAAACAAAAAAACACCCTAGAATTTTCTGGCTATCTTTGACTGCGTGACTGAAATCATGGAAAGCAAAACGGAGTGAGAGAGGACTGCTGTAGTGGAGTAGATTTAAGCTAGCCACATTGATGATTGTGTTGCATATAATCAGAATACTCCAATGAAAAGTTAGGTGTGATGGGGAGAGAAATGGCTGGAAAGACTGCTCAGCAGATAAGAGCACAGACTGTTCTTGCAGATGACCCGGGCTCAGTTCCCAGCACCTACATGGAAGCTAACAGCCATCTACAACTCCAGTTCCAGGGGATATGATGCCCTCTTCTGGTCTCCATGGGCATTGCACACATGTGGTACATCTACATATATGCACAGAAAATATTCATTAAAAATAAATTTTTAAAAATTGGGGGGGTTCTTTTTGAGACAGGCTTTGGAACTCACTATGTAGGCTGGCCATGAACTCACAGAGATTTGCCTATCTTTGCCTTCTGAGTAAATAAAAATTTAAAAAGAGGGGATGAGATCTAGCTCAGGGGCAGAGTGTGTGCTTATATAGCGTGCACAAGACCTTGGGTTAAGTTTCCAGAATAAATAAACAAACAAATAAATAAATGCATAGGTAGGTTAGAGATGGTCAGATTTAAAGTACACTAAAAATAGCTTAGTGTGTGCCACCCACCTAGAATTCTAGCACTTGGAAGGCTGAGGCAGAAAGTTCAAGATTTCAGGGCTGGAGAGATGGCTCAGTGGTTAAGAACACTGGTTGTTCTTGCAGAAGACCCAGGTTCGAATCCCAGCACCTACATGACACCTAACAACTGTCCGTAACTCCAGTCCCAGGGGATCTGATAGCCTCTTCTGACCTCCGGGGGCATTGCACAACATGGATGCACTTACCTGCATGCAGTCAATACATGCATACATATAAAATAAAAATAATAAAGTTTTTAAAAAGCAATGCTGAATGAGGTAACCCAGACCCAGAAAGACACACAGCACATGTTATCTCTCATATGTGAATCATAACTTTGAAAGTTTTAATTGTTAAAATTATTTTCTAACTTGCCTATTACCGAAATTGTAAATCCTTTGCCAGTGAGCACAAGACTTTGAAGAGAACTACATGATTTCCAGATTTACTGAGTAATTTTGTTTTTTTTAATATTTTATTTATTATTTTTATTTTACGTGTATGAGTGTGTTGCTTGCATGTATGTGAGTGCACCTGTGTTGTGCAATGCCACGGAGGTCAGAAGAGGGCTTCGGATTCCCCTGGAACTGGAGTTAAGGATGGTTCATAGCCGCCATGTGGGTGCTGGGAATCAAACCCGGGTCCTCTGCAAGAGCAGTCAGTGCTCTTAACCACTGAACCGTCTCTCCAGCCCCTTGTTGTTTTTTAGGTTTTGTTTAGGTTGCTTCAGTGGTCATGCTTACATCAGAGGCTACTCTCCTAGGATTCAAATTTGTGTCAGATAGTGCACACAGGTCCAAAGCTCTATGGACCTTTTTGCTCATCATCACAGAGCTACCTTTAGATTAACATATCTGAGATGCCTCCCTCTCAGATAAGCTTCTCAGGAGTATCTCAAGGGCACTTCCATGTTGAATCTGTCGTTCAACAGTGTCATTAAAGATCCGTGGTCTTGTAGCTAGTTCATCCTCTGCATAGTTTCTTCTTTTTGTTGTTGTTTTTCATTTGTTTTTTGACAGGTTCTCCCTAGTTCTAGCCCACTTAGAAGTCACTTTGTGGACCAGGCTGACCTTGATCTCACAGAGATTCACCTCCCCCGGTGGTTTGTTTTTTGAGGCAGAGTCTTGCCATGTGTAGCTCAGGCTGGCCTCAAAATCACTCCATAGCCCAGATTGGGCTTGAACTCAAGGTGATCCTCCTGCCTCAGTCTCCCAAGTGCTATAGGAGGCCACCACTATGCCCAGCTGCACAGTATCTTTATTTGCAGCTGTGGTCCCTTAGCCTCAGAGGGGCTTCCTTGCTTCAGGTTTGTGCAAACAGGAAACAGGAAGAATTATGAAGGGTCCTTTGTAGTTCCTGTTGGAGCTTTCACCAGAAGCCCCAAGCAAACTCTTCTAGTCCCTGTAGGCCAAGACTAGGTCACAGGTAGAGACCTCTGCTAGTCACCTGCAAGGGTCAGTCATTGTGACTGGCTAAGATAGCATCTTGATTCACCCTAGGGACTGGAGAGTAGAGTCCTTTCTTTCGCAAAAGGGGGATGAATGGCAGAACAGAGGGAGTTTGGCCAGCACAGCAGGGAGCTGGTCTGGTTGGGAAGTAGGTTCTGCTTAGAGCCTGGGGCCTTATAGCAAGGGAGAAAGGGTAAGCAAGAAATCTTTCTTTAAAAGTTTGATTTTGACTAAAATTGTTTTAAAATAATTTTTCTGTAAATATTTGAGAAATTGATTTTCTAGACTGTTTTCTAGAAATAGTGCTTTGCATGTAGAAGGCAGTTATTTGGAGAACAGTGATTAAATGGAATATTTATCTATCTGTCGGCCACAGTGATTCCAGATGTGCACCATGTGCAGCTTCTCATTGAGCCTTCAAGGTGGTCCTGCAAGATGCAGGGTCTATTGTCTTTTACCCAGGAAGGCTTAGTCAGGTTGAATCACTTGCTCAGGGTCAGTAGATGGGGCAGAGCTGGTATTCAGATCCAGATGTGGACAGTTCTGAGATATGTGCTTTCTTTCTATCCAGGTTGACCAACTCTTTTCAACTGTGTTTTGATAATCAGAATTAGTCTCATTTGTCTCAAAGAGCCATAACACATAGGAGTATTTCATTTATATTTGGCTTTAAGAAACAGTGAAATAAAAACTGGAATGTTTTCTCATTGGTCATGAGCACACAGTGAGGCAGATGTTCCCTCTCAGTGACAGTGCAGAGAGGTTGAGAGTGATCCATTTATGCCTGAAGGACCAGAATCCAATTACCAAAGGTTGCGAAGTTTCTGGGAAGTGTGCTGCAGGATACTGTAAGGACTTCTGACCTCTAGTAGGCAGAGGCAGTGCTCCTCATTCCCTAGAACCTTCTCTTCCTGGACCTTCCCCCACCTTCACCAGCACCTTTTTATATGAGATTAAATTTGATGCAGGTAGAATTCAGCGGTGATTTCATTTCTAGTTACAACTAAAAGAATAGACTTAAGTCAGGTGATTTGTCTCTTGAAACATTTTTAAGGCCTATTTGTATAGTAAATTGTTGGGGGTTGGGATGAACATTAAAACAGAATTTCACATCTTTGTTAGGGGAAAAGAGTGGAGAGGTTTAATGTCAAGATGTACAATAAAAACAGGTTAATGTGAGTTCTGTCGCTTTTCCTTTTTTTCTGTATTCTTGCATACCCTAAAGCAAGTGGTCCTAGCAGTGGCAGGCTCACTTGCAGGTTGATCTTGTTTCACTGGATCATCCAAAGCAATCTCACTGACCCTCAAAGTCAAGGTCCTGAGGCATGTTCCACAGAGACATCAGAGTGCCTTCACCTTCTAACTAGCTGCAGAACCAGGCTTCAGAGATCTTTCTAGAGGGAGCTAGATCCAACATCAGGTCCCTGGCCTCAACCAGGTCCCACAGCCGCTGAATTCATTGCTTTACCCATCCCTTTATCTGGTCCCTAACACAGTCTGCCAAGTTCTAGGCAATTAAGTAACAAAGTTCCTGACTTATGACCCAGTGCATTCTAAGGGAGAAAAGCAATGGGAATAACATTAGACAGTGGTAATCATCTTGAAGAAAATCAAATCCATCCTCGAGTAGAGAGTCCTTCATTTCCTTCTCAACAAACTATTGCGTTCTCTCGCCATGAAAGACAGTATTGTCTCACATGAAATGCCTACTGGGATTTTGTCATTTACTGACTAGTGCCTGGTAGTTAATTCTGTAGTTTCTTTCCTTGCTTTCTCTGTTCTCTTAGTTTTCTACTCACTGTATCAATTATCTTCTGTTGTGTAACACCACCACCCCAAAATGAAGTGCTTAAAACAGTTGCCAGTTATTTATTTGGCACCCAGTTCTGCAGTTGGACAGACATTCTAACCTTGGTTTACTTGGTCCCAATTCAGAACTTTCTTTGAGAAGTCCAACACTGTCCTTCAGCATTCCACTTCAATATAGTAAATGCAGTAGTCAAAAGCATCTGTGGCCAGGAGCCCAACCCATGTCCTTTTGTATGTAAGCCGAGACCCTGCAGAGTTAAGCACTCCTAACTTCCACAGAAAAGACAGGTCCAGGTGCAAGGGTGCTGTGATGGTCTATCAATGTGGTTTAAAAAAAAAAATCACTAGACCCATATGAACTCAGGCAAAGCCACAGTCAGAATTCATGAGACTATTTAGACTGGTGAATGCCTTGGGCATATTTTGAACCTCTTAAATATCAGTTTCACCGTGTCTAAAATGGCATTAATTATGTTACCCATTCCCGTTGGCCTTGTCATGAGACTTAAATGACATGATACCTATAAATAGCCTAGGCAGTGTCAGATAGGTGCTAGTTATAATAGTACCATCTTGTCATGCAAAAATACTCTAAAATACACTGGGCCTCACATACCAGCTTTAGTGATTGCCAGTGGATCCCAGTCTTGTTTTAGAGTCAGTCCTGGACATATTCATAAGCGACCTTGAATCTTCTAAGGAGGGACTCTTGCTTGGGAAGCATAGTGTTGTCACTCTAGTGAACACATCTGTGTGTCTCTAACTCTGCTCTCTTCTTCAGGGCCCAGTCATATATGCGCAGTTAGACCACTCCGGCGGACATCACAGTGACAAGATTAATAAGTCAGAGTCTGTGGTGTATGCGGACATCCGGAAAAATTAAGAGAAGACCCAGAACATATCCTGAGCAAGAAACAAGTCCAAACTGGATTCTTGTGCAGAAAATGTAGCCCATAACCATGTGTGGCCTTGAGGACTTGGGCAAGGACAAGCACATGTGTACTCACAGAGAAAAAAATGTGTATAAAGGATATGTTTGTTCTATTTAATCTTCCTGATGTGAGAGGCCATTGTTGCACGATGAAATGATGGTGTGATTCTGCATATATGTAAATTGTCTTGCTGTTTTTGGACATTCTTTCAGGGTCATTTCTAATTGGGAAATTTCAGAAACATTCCAATCACTATATCAAATAGCTATGGTTTGCTTTATTGGAGACAGTAGCAGACCTGTTAGTATTTCTGGTAGACGTGGCCTTTTCATCTAAGGGCTTAACCAGTCTTAGCATTTCTTGTAGTTGGAGAATGAGATATTACAGTGGAGGCATATCCAGGGTGGCCTTTCACACAGGGTCAGAAGCATCTGTTCCATTGTAGCTACTAAGACACCATCCATTAACCAGGCCACCTGAAGACAGTTTGACAAGATTTTGTTAGCATTTTTCTAAAATATGAAGCTATTCTCAGCTTTATGTCCTGCATAGGTTTTGGTCACACCCTTTAAGTATATCTTGTCAACTTGTGGATTCCTAATATCAAGGTTACCAAAGGATGAATGCCTCAGCTCACTTCTAGGTATTTTAGGTCAGTACTGAAGAGTTCATTAAGGTGGTGAGTCCAGGCTTTGCTCAAGGCGTGTCGTGCCATTTGGAAGTAAGAGGTACCGGTTACATCCTTTACTGAAGTTCCTCTGAAGGCAAAGCCCACCCAGAAGCAGCTGAAGAGGGGAGTTTGCTTCCCTCTCGGTGGGCAGAAATGTGATGGCTGTGTTGCCAGTGTGGTCTCCAGAGACTTGCTGTCTCTAGAATCTTCAGTCATGCTTCTGAAAGAGGCAGGACCATATGGCTCTGACAGCAGCTTCATGAAACTTCAGAATCCTGAAGGAGGCAGAGTTAAGGCTCATGCAGAGCTACTAGGACGGCTACTGAGCAAGCCCTGTGTCAGGTGTCATTCTGTTTCTCCTGCTTTCCCACCATTACTTAGAGCTGATAAACAGTGAGACAGGGATATATTTTGGCCTTTCTTTCCTTGATGGCCTTCCACCCCACCTCAGATCAATGAAATTCTGTTTTAGAGGAGAGACAGGTGCTCAGAAGATTGTTGGCCAGTGTTTATATGCTCTCCCATATTCTGCATCACTTCACTTTAAAACAAACTTTTTTCCCTTTAAACTGGGAAGCCAGGTCTTGGGATGTAGCTCAGTTGTAGAGGCCTTGCCTAACATGTGCAAGGCCTGGATTTAATCCCCAGCACCACTAGAGATAAATAAATAAAGCCTAGTAGACTGGCACTCACCTGTAATCCCAGCACCTGGAAGGTGGCAGTGAGAAGGATCCAGAGTTCAAGGACATCCTCACCTACATAGTGAGTTCAAGGCAAGCCTGGACTACATCACATCCTATTTCAAAACCCAGAAATGAATACAATGGAAATCCCATGGTATAGGAAGAATCCCCTCTATAGCCCCCAACACATGCTGATGTAAGGAGTGGAGAAGGGAAGTGGTGGTTTTCCTCTTACTGGTTTGAGGTACACCATAGCCGCTTCCTTTTCCTTCCCACCCTCTGTCATCTCTGGAGGATGTTTGAGAACTGAGCTTTAAGAGGATTCATAAAGGGAGTAAGCACAACTGAAGCTTAAAAGCATGCACGGGATGACCAAACATAGGAAGAGAACAGCTTCAGAGCTAACGCTGACCTGTGTGAGGGCTTTGCTTTTCTGAGGAACTGTGCCATCCCATAATGCTCCAGCCCGAATCCTGTGAATCTGTGAGGAGACAGGTCAGGTTTTGTCATGAATCTGGGCGTTGTCAGCTTAGGCCTTGCAAGCACTCCTCTGTTTGTGAGCCACCTCAAGGGTAACAGAGCCTGCCCTGAGCATTTCCCACACAGTGGCCACCTTTGCCTTGTTCCCTAAAACCTTTCTGTGTTTCAAGGGTTGAGACTGTCATTGTCACTGTTCAGTGGATGTCACACTACTCTCAGTGAGCCTTTGCCACTGTGGACAGCACAGCTGACCTGGACTATGTTCATAGTAAAAGGGTCCAAATCAACAGAGCCCACACGAGTGATATATAAGTACAAACCTTTGGGAGAGGCAGCCCTTCTTTTCAGTGGTCCCCACTGAATGGACTGCTCATTCCTAGTGCTTCCTGGCAGCAAGTGCCCTCATTTCCCCTTGCAGTGCTGAGACTTCAAGACTGGTCCTAGGGAGGGTGGGGGGCTCTGCTCAAATGACTGTAGTGTTCTCCCCCGTCCTTGAGATGACCTCCTTTCTGCACCTGACTTCACAACCTGCCTGCCCAACCTGACCTAACCCCCATCAGCACTCTGCTGTTCTGGCAGAAAGTCTCCTTAGCCCTGACCTATCTTCTTCCCTAGGCAGGCCAGGTGGGTCTGCAGCACATCCAGCTACCTGCAGGAAGATGCTCGGACTCCAGCAGAGCATCTCAAAGTGGTCTCAGTCCCAAGGCCATCTCACTTCTGTACATACCTCAATTGGAGTTTCTGGCCTGTTCCTACATTCTGTCTTCCTAGGCCTTCTTGCAGATAACAGCTTCGGGGTTGTAACCAAGTGGCAGCTCTGTCCCTGTGTCTTATAACTGGCAGAAGGAAGCCTTCTAAAATTATTTGTGAATTTTGTGAAGGGACACCTAAAAGCAATAACTTAAAAGATTAAACTTCCCATCCATACTTTCTCAATCGAAATGTATCCAGCCAGGGAGAAATACCAAGTTCATTGTTACCTTTTTGATCTTTGCATTTTCAGTTGTACTTATGTTTTAATACATCTTTTTCAATTTCTGAATGGTGTTGTCTGCTTATTTGTAATCAACAGAAAAAGACATGAAGTATTTTCATTTGTCCCATACCGGCCTCTTTATTCTTTGAACATACGACCTGTGTGCGTGCATCAAGACCTTTTGCCATCACCTCCCTCGGCCTGAACACGCCTTCTGCAGATACTTGTGTGTCTGTTCTCTCACTTCTTTTAAGTCTTTGTTCAGATGTCACCTCCGAGAGACCCATGGCATATATATAAAAGAGCAATCTCGGGCCAGTGAGACGGCTCAGCAGATGAAGGTGCTTACCACCAAGGCTGAGGACCTGAGTTCAATACCTAGAACCCACGTTATTCTCTGAACTCTCCATGCATGCTGTAGTGGGTGTGCACACAAACAATACAATGCAAAGGTAAAAGTTTTTTGTAAATTATAAAAAAGAGCTACCTCACTGGTCTGGTCTCCGAAGAGCATGAATAGCAAGGTGCTGTGACTCTGGTGTTTTGTTCACCATTCCACCCCATGTGTAGAAAAGCACCCCACCCTTCACAGCTGCTTGCTGCGTGCTTGCTGTGTAGACAGATGGATTTATCTATTTATCAGGATATATTGAGAACTATACTGGGCCAGGCACTATGCTGAGCATAAGGAAACAAAATGAACAAGATAAAGCTCCTTAAGGAGGCTGCTACAGGGAGGAGTGGGAGTGGCAGGAGGTGACACATGGTAGAACCTAATCGTTCCTGAGTATTTGGCATATGCCAGCTGCTTTGGATTTGTCTGAACTAATAATACTAGTTGTGCTGGTCTTCTTCCCCTTTTCAGAAAGATTGTTAGGCTTAGATATATAACTTGCCCAACTACCATTACTTAGCCAATAAGGTACAGAGCAGCGGGGCTGGGACTGTTTGGAAGGAATCTACAGTGCTCTGCAGGCCTGGACAGCAGTTTTCTCCTACTTTCTCAGGAGCTAAGTGTGGATGATGGGGGGGATGTCAGGTCTGGCTGTAGAGACAAAGATATCCTGGGGTCTTGACCTTAGTTTGAAAGACAGTGTACCCTGGCTTCCAAACTGCACAGGAAACATGCCAACCTAGTCCACAGAGCTCTGAGGGAGGCATGGGCCTGAGTGAGCTGAGCTGGGCTCTTCTGAAGGCAGTGGGGTGGTCTGGGTGCCAGGTCGATCGTGGACTTAGCTCCCCCTGCCTAGGGAACATGAGCATTCGCAGGAGGAGAGCCTGGCTGTTGTGCCACTGGTAAAAATGGGAGGAGCACAGCCATGTGCTTCCATGGTGGGTTTCCTCCTACACAATGCTTCCTGTAGACTCAAGATTTATTATGAAAATTTCGAACGTATAAAAGAAAAATAAAACCAGCCTCCATGTTCTTCAGGTAGTACATACCTGCAGTCCAGCACTTGGGAGGGGGAGGGAGGACAGAGGATTAGGTGTTGGACTACATGAGACTGTCTCAGCAAACAAAAAAACCCAAACACTTCATATTTTCAACAATTACTTAACTCCTTTGACCTCTTCTGTATTATTATTATTATTTTTTTATTATTTTATATTATCTTTTTGAAACAGGGTCTCCCTGTAGCCCCAGCTGTCCTGGAACTCATTATGTAGACCAGGCTGGCCTTGAACTCACAGAGATCCGCTTGCCTCTGCCTCCTGAGTGCTGGGATTAAAGGTGTGCGCCACCACGCCCGGCCATTTATTATTTTTATTTTATGTGTATTCATGTATTGCCTGCATGTAGGTAAGTGTACCTGTGTTGTGCAATGCCTGCAGAGGTCAGAAGAGGCTGACGGATCCCCTGGAACTTGAGTTATGGACAACCGTTAGCTGCCATGTGGGTGTTGGGCTTCAAACCCGGGTCTTCTGCAAGAACCACCAGTATTCTTAACCACTGAGCCATCTCTCCAGCCCCTTCTGTATTATTTTTAAAAGAATTCCCAAGTCATGTCAGTTCACCTACATTCTTTATTGTGCATCTTTAAAAATATGGATATGGGGAGAGAGGCAAGTAGAATGGTCTGATGAAACTTGTTCTATGTGTGCTAGCCTAAAAGATTAAACTATAAATATTTCTTTATATAGCCATATCTTGCTTCAGTGGGCTGAAACATTTTTATTACATTTTACTTACTAATTTTGGGGAGAGGTGTTAGTGTGCCACAGCATGAGTGTGGAGAACAGAGGACAACTTGCAGGAGTTCATCTTCACGTGGGCCCTGGACATTGAACTGAGGTCATTAGACTAAGCTACAAGCACCTTTACCTGTTGAGCCATCTCACTGGCCCAAATCAAAACATTAATATACATATTCTGGGACTGGAGAGATGGCTCAGCAGTTAAGAGCACTGGTTGCTCTTCCAGAGGACCTGGGTTCAGTTCCCAACACCAACGTGGCAGCTAATGACCATCTATCTATTTCCTAGTCTTAATAAATTTCCTTTATGGTGAAAATGACATTTTTTACAACTGGTTTCTTTAAATCAGGATCTTAACATGGTCCTAGTAAATATTTTTTTAGTTTGTTTTAAAGCCAAAAATAGATTGTGGTACTCTGCAGTTTGCTTTTTTTTTTTTCCCCCTCCCTAGCATTGTGTCAAAGAAGTTTCCAAGTCAGCAAGTAAAGACCAGGCTGTTAGTCATTCACACTTTCAAGGCTTCCTCTCATAAGGACACATCGTACTTTAAGCTGTTTCTAAACTTGCAGGTATTTATGCCGTTTTCAATTGTTTGGCCTACTAGCTCTGACTGTTACTTGTCCTTATGAACTGTTAAAGAAAAAAAGGCCAAGTGCAAATAATTTCCAGTCAGGAAATCTCAGCTCAGGGTCAGACCAGCTCTTCTGACCCTTAGAAATGAGATCTAACATCAGAGAGCGCTGTGGGCGCCATAAGACCCTTCCTCCTCCAGTGTGCCTACAGCCTGGGAGCTGGTGGCAGAGCCTGGGCTCCCTAGTCTCCCTGACTCTGTGGGTTGGGAACAGAGGACAGGAGAGTCTACAGGAGGCCTAGCTGTGTTTTCCGGGAGGGAAACACAGACGGTTCAGACTCAAAGGTCCCTGGGGAGCTGCTGCTTCCAGCTCCCATTTCCTCCTGCAAACAGGATGTGAAACTATTTATTGTCTTCTTGGCTCTGAGTTGGACTTCATAGTCCTGCCATTTTTTTCTCTGTGGGCTTTGTGATCTGGCCTTTAGTGTTCCACAATAGGAGGGCGGCTTGGCTTTTCGTTCTGTTTTCTTAAGTCTCCCTACATATGGGGAAAGGAAGTCTGGCAGGCTTATTCTCACATTTGCTTTTGTGCTCTGCCCTCTGAGCTGCACAACTGCACTGTGGTGGACGCCTCTGCCTTTTGGGCTCTGACAGAATCATGAACCGTGGTCCTCTTGGGGGCAGGGAATAACACAGCTAGAGAGCAGCTGGCTTGTGGCTGGAGGTCTCTCCTTACTTTTCTGAGGAGACTTAGACCATATTCTTGTTTCTTTCTCTGCCTTTGAATAGAACATTTTAAAAATATTTTAAAATTATATTTTATTTACGTGTGTCTGTGTATGTGTGGAGGTCAGGACAACCGGTGGGAGTCAATTCTCTGGCTGTAATATGTGGCTTCCAGGAATTGAACTCAGGTCCTCAAGTTTAGTGGCAAGTGCCTTTCACCTGCTGAGCTAACTTGTTGACCTCTGAACTTTTTTCATTACAAAAATTTTTTAATTTACTTTTTAAAAATACTTTATTATTTTTATGTGTACGAGTGTATTGCCTGCATGTGTGTGAGTGCACCCGTGTTGTGCAATGCCCACGGAGGTCAGAAGAAGGCGTTGGATCCCCCTTCGGACCTGGAGTTATAGATGGCTGTTAGCCACCATGTGGGTGCTGGGAATTGAACCTGGGTCCTCTGCAAGAGCAATCAGTGCTCTTAACCGCTGAGCCGTCTCTCCAGCCCTTATATACATTTTTAAAAAGTAAATTAAAAAATTTTTGTAATGGAAAAAGTTCAGAGGTCAACAAGTTAGGAGGACCCGAGTTTGATTCCCAGCACCCACATGGCAGCTACGAACCATCCTTAACTCCAGTTCCCAGGGGAATCTGACGCCCTCTTCTGACCTCCATGGCATTGTATGACACGGGTGCACTCACATACATGCAGGCAATACACTTGTACACATAAAATAAAAACAATAAAATTAAAAAAAAAATGTGTATAGTGGAGAGATGGCTCAGCGGTTTGGAGCACAGGCTGCTCTTGCAGAAGATCTGAGTTCCGTACCCAGCACCCACATGGCAGCTAACAACTGTCAGTAACTCTAGTTCCGGCGGGATCCAACGCCCTCTTCTGACCTCGGCGGGCATTGCATGACACAGGTGCACTTATATACATGCAGGCAATACACTCATAAAAATAATAAATTTTAAAAAATTATCTGTATATGTATGTTTGTATGGGTATGTGCATGTGAGTACAGGTACCCGAGGAAGTCTTGGATCCCCCTGAAGCTGGACTTACTGGAAGTTGTAAGTTGCCTAATGTGGGTGCTGTGAACCAAATTCTTAGGTCCTACGGCACGAGGGTAGGAGAGCTTCTCTTTTCAACCTGACACACCTGGGTAGAGGGAGCTGCAACTGAGAATTGCCTCCGCTGGACTGGCCTGTGGCAGTGTCTATGGAGGCATTGTCTTTATTGAGTGATGTGTGAGGGCCTTGCCTACTGTGGGTGGTGCCACCCCTGAGCAAGTCATCCTGGGTTGTTTAAGAAAGCAGGCTGAGCTTAGGTCAGGGGAGCAAGCCAGTAAGCAGCGTTCCTCCATGGCCTCTGCTTCAGTTCCTACCTCCAGGTTTCTGTCCTGAGTTCCTGACCTGTCTTCCCTCAGTGGTGAACTGTGACCTCCAAGTGTAAGATAAAATAAACCCTTTCCACCCAAGTTGTTCCATCACAGCAAACTAGGACACATTGTTAACTGCTGAACCATCTCTTCAGTCTCACAAATTTTAACTCAATAAACGAATTTTGCAT